TTCCTCGTTTGCTGCGGTTTGTGTATCGTCTGTCTGAGCTTGTCGATTAGTGCTGGTTTGAACTGTGTCTTCAAGCGTATTCATCCTTTCGCATGACAAGTCAAGTAGGTATTTATAAATTTCGGTGAGTTGGGCCTTCTGAATTTCATAGTGTTGGCGAACACCTTCGCATGCTGAAATGAAGTCTGGGAGATCTGCAGAACATGTTCGTACTGCCGCTTCGTCTGCATACGTGTTGCCTAGAATATGGTATGCTTCCGCATATGACTGTGCATTTTCGAGTTGCAGGTGAGACTTGATTTTAAACACATGGAATCGTGACTGGTCCCACACATGGCATAATCTGGCTATCACATCCCAATGATCCCTTTTATGCGGGGAATCCTGAATCGTATCTGCTTCTATATGTGATATTACATTTACCACAAACTGGGAGTCTGTGTAAAAGGAAACTTGTGCTTGATCGTCGGATGTTCTTGCTTGTTCTGCACCTATTAACAGGGCGAAAAGCTCTGCTCGGTTAATGGTCTGTGCCCCAGGGCAGTGTCCTGTTGCTAGGACTTTGTATTCGTACTCATCAGTGGAGGGGGGACAACACCGAGTGCGGTGGATAACCGCCCAAGCGGCGCGAGCGACATATGGACTTCTGGGATGTAGACATGATCCGTCTGTATAAATTGTATCATCTTGACCTATCTCGATCTGCGTATTTACCTGGATAGTGTGATGGCGAAGGTGCATGGCTTGTCGAATCAATTCCAGGTCTGGTGAATGCAACGGCAAAGGAAACCAACATAAGTGTGTGTTTGCTGTCATGTATTGGACTGCCCCCGGATGTTGTGCTCGTATATGTTGAAAACACGGGCACTCTAGCATGAAGTGTTTGTGTGTGTCATATTGCTCACAGAACGGACAATTTGGACTCTGCTTTGCGCTCCATTGTGCAATCACTCCATTGGATTGCCACCCGGCAGTCAATGTCAAAGCCAAAATTCTCCGCTGTCTGTCTGTAAATCGGCTGAGTATCCTGTTTGTCGTCCAAGAGTCGAATGGCAGTGGGGTTACTCCTTTACGGTGTACTATTTCATTATGGCAATGCCAGTCCCAAGCAATACGAAGCTCCTTTTTAATGGTTTTACTAGTGGTACTTTGAAGGCCAAGTCGAAGGCCTCCCGGTCCAAGTAGGGTGGCATTAGTGGTCATTTCCCATCCTAATCTATGTAAGTATGATGCTAGGGCTGTTGCGGGCCCATGGACTTGGCCATTAAAATGGCAAACCGCATGGACGAACCGCTGGGCAAGGCTTGGGTGGTAGACAAACAGTCTTCTTAGCGTTGTAAGTAGATCCGACACTACATATAGCATTGGGTCTTGTATTCGACTGGACAGGTAGTGTAGTGCCATGTGACTTGATGCTTGTTTGTGGTCCCCAACCAGGACCGTAGTGGCTGCTCGCCTAAGGTTTGTGAAATGTTTTTCTCCAATGGTCATGCCTAATGCGCCATAAAAGGTCGCTGGCCATATTGCTGTCTGTATTTTCTCTGCTCTCTCTTCAAAGATAAGATTCAACTTCCGAAGCCGATTGCATTTAGCTATGGCGTTGTCTATCTTATCTCTCAGGGGACCAAGGACGACCTGGTTTGTATACGATATCATGCACCCCAAATCTTGCACATGATTTTTAATCTTGAATTGGAAAGTTGGCTGTAACATAATTTGAGATGCATCATACCAAAATTGCCTTAGTGGTTTGGATGTTGCCCATCCCCAAGACTTGTCCATATCAATCTTCATGCGCAATTCATGGACCAAATTAAGGATCTTGACCATAGCTCGAAAAGTCTCTCTTTCTGACGTCGACATGAATGACCAGTTGTCGGCATATGTGTAGGGATGAACTTGTGGCGTTTTGATGACATGGTGAAATACAAAGCCAAGTGCCAGCATTCCAACTACGGACATAGAGTCCCCTTCTGGTAGGCCGGTGGTGGAAAGTGCCGCTGGGCCAATTGCTTGGCCACATTGTAGAACTCTGGTCAGCCTACGGAGCGATTTGAACCAAAAATCACCTATGCAATGTGGGATCCCTAACAGGCCAAAGACATACCTTACAACACGGCGTGGGATTAGGTTGAATGCTTTGACCAGGTCCATGGTCCACCCACACCACGCTGAGCGGTGGGTTCGAGCCTCTTCGATTTGGAGCATCTGGACTAAACTGAGATCTCTAGCGGAACGATGGGGAAGTCCCCCGCTTATTTCAGGCGGCCAGAGATTAGTCCATTGCTTAAGTACTTGGTCGGCTATTAATTTCGACGTGAGTCGGGCCAAGTATCCGAGGATAGTTATTGGTCTGCCGTCCGAGATGCTTTCCGGCTGTGGTTATTTGGCAAACAATAGCGTTCTGGCTTGCATGTGTTGTGATGTATGCCCATGTGACCAAGTAAGGGACAGGATATGCGAGAGGTCTACTACCATGTCCCAAGTGAGGGCTTGTAGCTCCTCAGAATGCCACCCATCCTCACCTATAGCTTTATAAGGTTTTAATTTGTGGATTGATTCCCATAGTCGATGGGGGCAATCATACTTGAGATCAAGTGTATCCTGTGTCGGTATGATGTCATCCAGTCTTTGAAAAAGGTCTGACCATGGTTCATCTGATTCTTGATCGTGTACTGAGTCTCTCAACCAAAACTGCGCCCAATAGCGATGGAATGCATCTGACATGGGGGGCGATGGTATATGCGTGCGAATCAAATGTAACCGTGGCCTTGGCCTTGGCTGGCACTGCACCTTGGACTTTGGTTAAGACCATACGGGTATCATTAACTGAGAGGACTTCCGCCTTGGATCCGAAACATATCTGTCCTACGGAGACTGGAATTGGCTTTTCTGTACGACCTTTGCTGCGACAAAGGATGGCCTCGTGTTTGACAGGAATATCCTGTAGAAATTGCTGATCTTTATTTTTAATAAATATCTTGCGAATTGTTTGTATGCGACATTGCAAACTCAATGGCATGGCGTTTGTGGTGCCTACGCAAATGTAGTTCTTGACGTGCGTATGCATCGGATTCAAAGCGAGTGAGCTGCAATGCTTCTTGCAGCCATTCGGCCGTGGGTATATTTACTGGGATATGAGTTACAAATTCGAAGCTCAAAATCCATGCCGCCCAGGAACGACCGAAACCCTGCGCTTGCTTAATGGTATTCCATTCATGTTGAAGTTGTTGTACAAGTGTATTGTTCTCTGAATGTGGTTTCAACTTACGGCAATGCTGTAACAAGGACGCGATTCGTTGGACCTGTCTTACTTTCATCTGGCCTTAAAGGATGTGATCTCTGTGGGGGGTTCATAGGCTGCAGTTTTATCAGGCTTCACTGTTCTTGGTGCCACATGCGTGATGTATCTTGTAGGTCTGCATCTCCCATAATACTTTTTGCCTAGCGTAGGTCGTGGGAAGTGTAAGGGGTCTTGCATGTGTTGTTCTCTAATTGTGCTTTGCACTGCTGACCCTACCCCCTTGGACCAGCTTGTAAATGCTGCGTTGATGTCATCTTCAGTATCGAGTGTTCTCTTGGGCTGGAATCGCGTTCTCACTCTTGCGTAGTGTCTGGAAAACACTTCTCCCTTGAGAGGAATTTCTCCCCAACTTGGGGGCATGAACCAGTTCTTGAGGAGGCATTGATTTCCTGGAACACGAAACCTGATAGACAAGGGACTGTGATCTGGGAATATGTTGCCTTCTCCTACCCAAATATCTTGTATCCATGGTATCAAGGATTCATGGATAATAGAGCTATCATTGCGTGTGCTATTGCGGCATGTAGGGGGGAGTTGTTTGTTCAGAGTCATCTCTGCCAAATGAAATGCCTCTTGACATCGAATGTTCTGAAAGGCGCGATATGCTGGGAAGTCTCGGACCGGATTGTTGAAATCCGCTGCTACCAGAAAAGGGAGGTTAGTGGCTGAACATATTTGGTATATTTCTGCAAGCAAATAGTCACTCTTTGCTTTGGCGTCATGTGTCTTGCCAGCAAAAATATGCCGTGATCAGTAGTACTTCAATATGTCCGATAACAACGATTTGTTGCGAAACCCTTAATGTTTCTTCAAGCCATGTGGGCAGATTGATTCTGGGGGTCCGATGGGGAATGCGGAACAAGGAGGCTGTACCTAAGGCAGCGCCTCGTTTGGCATTGTCATGAAGAAACGGGTTACTTAGTTGCCGTTGACTCGGAACTGGCGGTCCCCATGGGATGCGATAATTGGTTGTTTTCAAAAACTTTGTAAATTCCGCTTGGACTGCTGACGTAGCGGAAGTCTCAACTAGTGAAATACAGTCTGTGTTTAGATTGACAATGTCTTCATGTCTTTCTGGTATACTCGTAGGATTGAGAATAGTAAAGACAATTTCTTGTGCCTGGTTTCCAGGACCTGGGTTCAATGCTTCGCCTATTCTGCAACCATGCAACGTATTAACATCTTCTTTGTTAGAAATGCATAATGGTGTTCCGAAATGGCTTTGTTGTATGACTTCGGGGTAAACCGAAAACAGAATGCAAAACCCTCTGGATTGCCTCCCCAAAGAAAGCATTGTCCTTTTCCGGAACGTATCTGCTTCGAGAATCGAACCTGGTGGTGTGGTGCACGAATTAAAGGAATTGCTGCGAAGAGTTGGAAATGCAACCTCCCTTCTGGATCGAGATGCCAACTCATGCATCAGTTCCTGCAGGTGTGGAAGGCATCATGGGGCAGGTTGACAGTTGACTTCGCCACGCATTTGGTGGGGATATATATAGACGCTTTTCTGTGTTCGGTTTGTCTAGCATCGCCCCCATTGTGGCGCCATCATGCTTGTAGTGCTGACTTCCGTGCTGGCGGCTTCTATTCCACTCGCATGCTTCGAGCCTTTGAATGACCGTGCTCACACATAGAATTGAAAGGTGCGCTCCGAGCAGGGCCGCCCCTGTCAATTAATTTTCAGCCATGCAGCCAGGGTCGACTTCATCCTGGCCTCTGCAGGGCAATGGTGCGTGATTCAGAAGGAATTGTTGAAGCGTATGGCAGCATACTAGGGTTGATGCACAGTCCAGTTTTCCATAGTTTCCCATAACCAATCCACATTCTTTCCGAATCCTGCAGGTCTGTGGTGCAAGCATCCATTGATAGAGTAGGCGGGCCATGTATCCAGGTGTCTGAAGTTTTTGCATTTTGTTACCTGAAAGGCATGGGTGCCTGGGGAGCGGCCAGCGATCATGCGCCTCTGATTGCTCAGCTAGTGCCAACTTTCTAAAGTGAAGGCTGATCTAGACACGACGAAGTTTAGAAACGCAGATGCTTAAAGTGCTGACGTACCATGCAGCAACCTCTCTACCAGTACCATAAGAGTCTGGGGTGGGTGCGGCGTCAAGACCGCAGTTCTGGACTTGTGTCCTGATTTTGTTCCGGCTTGGACACTTGGGGACAATCCTCAAGATTCCCGGAGAAATCAAACCTTGTGTGCTGTAGCAGCTGTAGCAGTGCAACACGGCCAGCACACTTTCATATTCACACTTGCATGTAGCGTGTGTGCAAGCTTTATGTTCACAAAAGTCACCAAAATGTCCCACCGGGACATTTTGGCTCAAGTGAGATTGCAGTGCCGTGATGCTGCACTTGTGAAGCGCGATCCCCTCTCAACACGCAATGGCTTCGCCAGTGGATGCGGGATTCGCTTTGATTGAGATCCGAGATAAGGGTGAGACGCTTGGTGCGGACACGACCTCCAGCCTGACATGGACACCTTCAACGAAGAGGCCGTCCAGGCCTCTTCCCTGATTCGGGCCTTGCTGCCCTCACCTTCGTGGGGAACTTGGATTTGGGGGCGCTCAAATTGCCTGAGGCTGAGCCCCCTACTGCTTCCGTTGGGGGGGCACTCTGGATGCCCTCATGGCGGCTGAGGTTGTGCCAGTTGAGAAATGGCCGGTCAGTGTGGCACCGACACCCCCAACGGCACCCACATTCACCTCACAGACCCAGGGGAGGAGCAGAGGCCTGGCCTACGCCGGACATGCCCGTTGCAATGTCGGCTGCTGCTGACACAGCTCCCCAACAGCGGCCAGCCAACGTGCTACCACGGTGGAAATGGTGGCCCAACCGATCCGATTCAAGCCTGCGGGGGGACCAGCCGAACATGGTTCGCTTTGAGATGTTCATTCCCAACCGTTAAATTATTACTGCAACTAATACATCATATCAAAACTAAAAAATAAATACCATATAATATATCATTCATTCATTCATTCATTCTTTCTTTCATTCATTCTTTCATTTCATTTCATTTCATTTCATTTCATTTCATTCTATGCCATGCCATGCCATGCCATTCATTCATTCATTCATTCATTCATTCACTTCCAGCCTAAATCGAGTCAGGCCCGTGTTGGGCTGTATGGCATGGTGCCATGGGTGCTTCGCGAGTATCTTAGCCTCACGCACGAGCAATCTGCTTCAAAATCATGGAAAAGCCGTAGCTAGGAGATCCGACAAATCGTCGTTGGGGCGGCGCTGTTCGATCGGGCGGCGCCAACCACATGCTCAACTCATCATGAGGAACCAACCAATAAAGGTATGCGGCCCTTCGCAAGGGATCCATCACTGGACACAGGGTGGCAGTCCGATTGTCGTCTGTGAGCCAGGAGCTTCCTGAACTGATGTAGAGGCATTAGTAATGTCCATTGGTGGGCTCCGGTCCAAAGTGGCACAAAATGCTAACCACTCGATAGGCTTCCCAGACAACAGTCATGCCTGAGCTCTCGGAGAAGATTGGGACGTACACCTCGGTCCGGGCAAAATCATGTTCTTGCAATGGAGAGTGGGGAAGCGGTCACGTTGCAGGAGGATGCATAGATGCGCTCGGACAAACGCATGCCTACATGGCTCATGACAATGCCAATTATTGATCAAAACTTGCGAGTCACACCGCTTTTCATCCGGCAGGCACAAAAGGATCGGGGCTAAGCATGCACCCCTATCTTCAATGCTGTGCTCCAGTCGATGCTCCCCAGACGTGGGGTCCAAAGAGTTAAGCCCTCAACCAACCGGCGCCCTCTTCCCAGCTATCCCGGGCCACCTAAGCAGTTCATGCAGCAGCCCATAGAGGGATCATTCTGGCCTGGACTCTGCCAGCAAGGAGCGCCTCAAAGGCAGATCGCCTGGCGTGACATGTGCGCGGCATGCTTTGCGCCTGACCTGCAGCGGCTATATACCTCCTGCTGGACATGTAAGCGCCCGACGGCCACACACCTCCTCCACGATGGGGACCAACGCGACGCATCTTCTTCTTCTTCTTCTGCCCCTCCCCCTCTTCAAGCCTGAGCCTCTTCTCCTCTTCAGCCTTCTTCACTCTTTCTTCTTTTTGTTTCTTCTCTTGCTCAAGCCTCAGCCTGTCCTCTTCTTCCTTCTTCACTCTTTCTTCTTCATGTTTCTTCTCTTGCTCAAGCTTCAGCCTCTCCTCTTCTGCCTTCTTCAGCGGTGATCCCTCTGTTGGGGAGGCCAAGTTCAAAGAGGTGCGCGCCATCAATGCTGGACATTTTGCCGGCGGAGATTGCAATGAGTGCCCAACCATAGCCGCGTCCACATCTGGCAGGAGACCCTGTCGGCGGACCATGAAGGATCACCACGACGGCGGCTGCCCATGCTGCCCGCCTGAAAGAACAGGACACCTCCCAGTCCTTTCAGATATTCCATCCTCAAGATTGCTGACCCCCTCCAAGAAGGGATGCGCGCTGTGCCTGGCAGCGTGGGTGGCAACCTTCTCCAAAGGTGAACCTCATCGACTTCAAGCAATCCATGCGTTCGTGTTAGTTGGAGGGCCAAGATCGTGGAACCACGCTTGCAGATGAAGGCCCAGGCCACAGCGCTGGGCCGGTGCGCCATCGCTGTGCGATGTTCCCCCGCAAGCCAACCTTAATGCGGCGGCCCGGGTGCGCTGGACTCCCAAGCTGCTGTCAGACCTCAAGCTAACTTCCGTGGTGGGAACCGATAGTACTGGCGCCTCAGGCCTGGATGCAGAGGCCCAGAAGCGCTCTGGGCCATGAAGGTCCACAAGGGTGAGCTCCTAGCGTCGGGCCGCTTTCCGCTTGGGCCCAAGTCCTCATGTCCATGGCATCGTGCTCATGCTGGAGGGGGTTGTAGAACAGCGTCAGGCCGGGGGCCTTCAGTGTGGCAGCTTGGCTGCTGCTGCTGCTGCCACGAAAGCAGCCCATGCTTTCCTCGGCGCTTGGAGTTCACAGTCAAGGGGAGACTGCGACTGCGCCGTGTGTACTTGAAGGAGAAGCGGTGGCCATAAATGCCAACCAGCAAACAAGGTCCCAGGCGCGACTACTTCTGGCCAAGTTGCTGGCCCACTGTCCATGATAGCCTCCAGGGGGCGGACGGTAGGCTCCACCATGTTCGCTTGCGCGACCGATGGGCGGCGTGCAACGCGCCGCGATCCTTGGTCAGGGCGACTTTCGCACTGAGCTGAAGCGCCTGTTCGGGGACGCTCCCCAGATCCTGCGCGGGTCGCGGCCCCCCGTGAGCCGACCGAGGACCCAGCGGACCAGAAAAGCGTGCCGGATTCACCGAAGGGGTGCGACACGGTCCGGAAGACCCACGCACTGCTCTAAGCTCCCAAGAGAAAAGGTTCTGCAGATCCTTTGAGGGCTTGGTTGGGAGATTTTTGCTTTGGGTACATTGGCAAAATGAAGAGGCGCCGTGCACTTTCTCCAGGCGGTTTTGGAGGAGACAGCGGACCTGGATCTGTTCTTGTGAGCCAGAGGCCTGACCTCACAAATTGGCCTACGGCCAACACTGAGCATTCCGCCGGAGATGCGCTGAAGCTCGGTGCCTTGGTTGAATTCATAAGTTCTGTGTGCCCTAATCACGAGCTGTAGCTAGCTGGAGTCTGTCTTGCTTTAGCAAGGAGGGGTGGGAAGCCCGGACCTGAGTGATAAAGGATAAGGCCTGATATATCAGAGAGTTGGGCCCACCTCGGCGGTTCGACTCTCACGCCCCAACAAGGAACATCGAGGAGCGCAGAAAAAAAAACATTTTTGAGGTTGTGATTTTGGAGCAAGCGTTCGCTGTTTGTTATACCCGCTGGTTCTGCCCCTGGTTCTGCTGCTGCCTGTTGCCTGCTGCCTGGTGCTTGTTGCCTGCTGCTTGCTGCTCGCTTCTTGCTGCTGCTGGCTGCTGGTGGTGGTTGTGGAGGTGGTGGTTGTTGTTGTTGTTGTTGTTGTCGTTGTTGCTGCCGCTGCCGCTGCCGCTGCCGCTGCTGCTGCTTCTTCTTGTTGCTGCTGCTGCTTCTGGTGCTGCTGCTGCTGCTGCTTGTTGTTGCTTTGCTGCTGCTGTGGTCCTGCTGCTTGTTGTTGTTGCTTTGCTGCTGGTGTGGTCCTCGTTTGTTTGCGCAGGCCAAAATTGTGTGAGTTCTTTTCAAGGTCGCTCCATGTCATTCCTCATCGGTTTCCTGCTTTGCTGCTGCTGCTGCTGCTGCTGATGCTTTGCCGCTGCCAAACTCAACCTTTCGTCCACCTCCATCACCTCAAGTGCTTCGTTTCACCCGTGTGCTGGGCCCCAGGTCCCGTCCTGAATGAAGCACCGGAGATGACCAAGGCAATGTTAAAAATGGGGCACACCTAGTGCCGTAGTCTAAAATCTCAAATCTTTAGTCAAACAAGGCTTCGTTGGATTGGGGTATGTTGCGCTGCCAAAAAGGCCTCAGCATTGCTTCTTCCCTTAGCGCCCTCGTATCTCTCGCCTCTCCCAAGTATTTTTTCACTTATTTATTTCATATCACCTCATTATGTTGCACGTCAGCTCACTTTTTTTTTATTCCCTGCGGCTGATGCCAAAATAGGATTGCGAGAAACCGTTTGAAGCAGGCACACCTCAATAGAAACGACCCGCATCATGTGACCCGTAGTGTGTACATCTAGTCTGACCAGCAAATACAAAAGGCCAAAACAGCTGCAACCAGTCCACCCAATGGCTGACCTGCTGCCGATCACACTTTGCAAGACACCATCTCAAATCCGGCCTTTCAGTTTCACTTGTTGAAACTTATTTTTGGGTGATTGATTGAAACTTAATCAATATTTTTCGCTGCCTGCAGTATTGTCATTCTGGGCCACCGCTGCATGGCTCCATTCAAACGCTGGTGTCACGTACAGAAGCTAAGGGGAGCAGGCTGGTGCCCAAACGCTTGATTTGGAGTGGGTGCACCTCCACCCTACAGGGTTACTTTGGTGGCGAGATAGCAAACCATTCTTTTGAACAGTTTGGTCGTCTGTAAACATTCTTAAAGCCACTGTCCGCAGCTACCAAGGTTGGTACAGGAAGATGATGCAACTGCCAAGCGTAAGGTGCCCGCTCGCTCATGTTTTTCCAAACGGTCCGTTTTGCATCAAGGGTCTACTGTAACCAGTGATTGGCGCCATGGCAGGTCCTTGCCGGAGAATCATTTCGTCTTGCTGGGGGCTTGCTGCTGAATGGTAGTGGTGATCGCTTTTGCAATGAGCTCGGGCCAGCTGCCACTTGGAAAGAATGATAAAGATGGTTGAAACAAGCACACAGGTTCCCATACAAGCTTGCTGATATTCTTGTGTATTATAATTCCAGCAAGGCCGAGAGGATCGCAAACACATACTACTGGATTCTTACTTCTGTATAGCATTGTATAGAATGGTCAATTCCACAAGTAGCACAACAATCCCATGCACCGGAGATCATTGGAGTGTCAGGGTCCATGATAAGGGGTGACGAGGACCAGGCCTGTAAGGAAAGGAGTTTGAACACCGAGTGTTTCTCGCTCTAATGGCGAGGAAGCTCGCCGCTTTGCGAAGTGTTTAAATCTATCATAAGGAAGGAAAACCAGACATATGTTGATTGACGAGTTTTGCTGCTAGGGCCTTCGAAACACAAGTCGAAATCAGACAGGAGTGTTTATTTTCTGCGGGTTTCTTGCAAGCCAAGGAGCACATTGTTGCAGAGATGCAGAAAAACCCTGGACCTTTTCGGCTTTGCTTGAACACAGCAGCTACCCGAGAATTGCAGTGGCAATGTCGATCGCACATTAGTCGAAGGCTGATGAAATGCTATGCATCTGGAAGAGATTTGGCAGAGGATATGAAGATCCCATTGCGAAAGTTAATCGATGTGCACGACGCTCATGCCGAAGCCTTTCGAAACACGTTGCGCGCAGCAGAGGCTGGCCCTTGGCCATGTTTGAACGGAAGGCGTTCCTGGGACGAGACAAGCGGAAAGACTGGATATGGGAAGTGCGATTTCAAACATGTCTTGGTGGGATCCAGAGTTGCAGACGAGCCATTTCATGTGGCGAAAGTGACACCAGTGATCCTCTACTGCTCAGGGGGTATAAAGATCAACGCGCGAGCCGAAGTTCTAAAAAATGATGGGACGCCCGTTCCGGGTCTTTATGCCGCGGGCGAGTCAACTGGTGGAATCCATGGCAAGAGAGCTTTGGCAGGCAACTTGCTGCTGGATTGTTTGGTGTTTGGAAGGCTCGCGGCCAAATCTGCTTGCAAGTACATATTTGGAGAAGATGATGAATTTAGACCTTGCCCTTCACAAGCTTCCGAGAGACAGCAAGAAAAGGGCCACTTCTGAGTTTGCGATATTTTGCGATGACGTACGTTGCTTCATTGCAGGGTATGGCTGGGAAAAGCATCTAGCTGAACACATCAACTTGAGACATCTGATTGTATGTCGGCAAGCGTGAACTTGCTCAAAGTTGTTTTGACACACACTAGTTATTTACTGTAGACAATCTGCTTTGAGGCTGACGATCCTGTTAATCAACTATGAATCTGCTTACTTCCAATATGTTCCGACTGCATGTGCTCGCTAATTCATGACTGCGATTTTAAGGATGACAACCGTTTCTCATCACCTGCACAAGCTTACCGCTCAACCCATCGCTGGCATCGCCGGACATCTTGCTAAGATGACTTGTTTTGTCTAGGTTCATTTTGATGTGACGTTGGTTTCAGGGGCCCTGTGCGTTTCAAGCTAGGCTATAAATATCAACTCTCTTGAGGTTAGACTCGCTGGGTTTTTGTAACTTATTTACTAAATTATCTTTAATTACGAGCGAGTTTCTCTGCCACATGTCCTTCTTGCCTGTCTTGAAGAAGCAGGGCCACATGAAAGTGACGTTGCGGTATGAGTTTCGGACAGTTCTAGACGGATCTTGTTGGCTGGGTTTGAAGGGTGTCCTGGAAACGCTACATTGTCACTGAGTCACTGTCAGCACAGCTGATGACCCTTCAAAGCTCCGGCTTCAAGCGTTTTCTCCTCGGTCCTTTCTTCTGGTTCCCCAATCTCCTCAAGTTGTTCCTTGCCATGATGAAGGCCTAATTACCCTCAACGACCTGTTCTCGAGTACTCTTCTGGCCCTAGCAAGCTTGAAGGTGTAGCCGCCTGCAATCTGAGAAATGTTCCGTCATATATTCTTTGGCCTTATGTTTGCAGACATGCGTAGTCCTGCTGGCTAGGGAGTGTTTCCTGAACTGTTTCTGCAGAAGAATTGTGCTAACTTCGCAACACCTCCCGTTAGCTCTAAGGTAGCCATGCCTGGTGACGGGTAAATTTTTTATATTTGGTTTTGTTTGATTCGACTTGACAAGTCCGTGCAATGACAAGGGAGCGGTTTTGGCTCTTGAGGATAAGCTTCGGATGCTGATGGGATATTATGTAGACATTCGCAGATCAACAAGACATGCTTCGAGGACCATGAGTCTTCTTGGGCCTTGGGCCTTGTTTGAAAACCAGTTGCACCTTCTAGCCATGGATGGCAACAAGCCTCTGTTGGCACGGGAGAAACCCCAGCCTCAACGACTGTCTCCTGGCCTTTTGGCTGCTTGGTGAGGAATTTATTGAGAATACTGTAATGTCAGTTTCTGCACGAGCTGCAGCCAAGCTGTAGAAGAGGCGATGCTCCAATCATCATTGTTGTCATGACCAGGGTCAAAGACAGTCTTGACTCCTGACTATCATCAACATTTGCTTTTGTTTTGGCAAGCTTTTGTTTTGGACAATTGGGATTAGCAGGCGATGATAGCCGGTGCCTTCTTCTTTTCTCTGATGGCCTTGATTGTAAAGCTCCTGAACAGTTTCGGAACTTATGAGCTTGTTTTCTGGCGCTCGGTTTTCATGTTTGCAGGCGCGAATGTTGTTGTTGTTGTTTGTTTTAATGTATTTATTTATTTATTTTCTATTTGTGTGTGTGTTTTCGTCTGGTTTTCTCAGCCAGGGAACCTGGGACTGTTTGAGAGACCCATCGCATTTCCGCAGGTACAATGTCAATTTTGGCAGCAAAGGGAATCAACCCATTGGGCCCAAGCGGAAGTCGGGTCTTATTGTGGGTGAGAGCTGCGGCAGGCTTTGGCTTCATGAGTGGCTTGGCTGTGATTGGCTCGTGTTTGCAATACAGTTCCACAGCTACTCAGCTCCGCTGAGGTGGCTATTATTATGCAATCCAGCATTTGCCGTGAGTGCCTCAAAGTTCGACGGACTGTTTTTTTTGCCTTGCACAAACAATCCGAATTCAAGTTATATACGCCAGCAACGAAAGCCGGCCATGCAGGCTGAGTGATGCAGTTGTTATCACTTATACAAGCCCCGTCATTACGGCCGTGGCCGCTGCTTTGCTGCTGGGCGAAGCTTGGGGTCGATTGGATGCCCTTGGAAGCGTGCTGTGCATGTTTGGAGTCGTGCTCATCAGTATCTTGGTGTTAAAAACAAGAAAGATACAATCAACACATAAATGACTCAGACCAAACTAAGATGCAAGGAAGGAAGGAGATGACTCAATATTTGCGGAGTCCTGTGCTTGATATGTTTTATGTGGAGGCAAGCCGGGCTTTGTGATGAGCCTTTTCGGGTTCCCAGCCGAATCCATTCCATTGAATGGACTCCTTGGAGCCATCATTGCTGCGGTCATGAGCAGTGCTGTGTACCTCTTGGTGCGCGTGCTGAAAGGCGCCGGCTGAAAAGCGTACTAGCTTTTCAAGTCTTACTGTAAGATTGTAGGTCGGTTGAATAGGCCATATACAACAGCCCTTGTGCGCACACTATTCCAGAGCAAGACTGTGTTTCTGTGCTCAGTGGAAGATTGCTGTGTACCCAGAAACCTTGCAATACTACATGCTGCAGAGAGCCTGCAAAGTGTATCTTATGAGTACGTTTGCACGGATATGATGCTCCGATTGGTTTTGGGTCTAGTGGTGGGCATAATGGCACATTTGCGCAAGCAAGTTGATGGACACTTGCAAGCATGTGTGAGGCGTGCACCCTATGGTTTTCGTAAACTACTTTGCCGCAGCTGGAATTGTCCTGGGCCCTATATGCAGCTATGTATCAGGTGAGAAGTGGAGCTGGCACACTGAGAGAGATTGGCCACTGCTCGTGTTGCTGGCTGTTTTCTCAGTCGCCGGGCAAGCGCTCATGAACTTGGGGCTGACTTTGGAGACAGCTGCGAAAGCTACTGCCATGAACTACTCGCAAGTGGTCTTTGCCTTCGTCTTTCAAACTGCCCTCTTGCATGAGCCAACTGATTCGCTTAGTGTGGCCGGCTCCATGCTGATTGCTATGTGGGGTGTTATTGCTTTAGCCAAAGACGCAGGAAGTCCCAGAGCTGCAGAGGAAGTTGTCAGAAACGAGGCAACGGTGCCCGAAATGATGCTGCAACGTCGGAGGTCTCATGAATTGGAGCATCGCAATTCAGAGTTTGATGCTCACTAAAATGTAGATGCAAGATGAAGGAGGCCAGTCAGCGCCCATTTGCCGATTTTGTTGTTCCCATTTTCAAGTGGATGGATTGATGTTGAACCACCAAAGTGATCTTGAGAACCGATTCATTCTTCATGTAAACAATGCCGGCAAACTTGATTGCACTGATCAGCAGGAGGTTCATTCCCAATCCAAGCTTGCGCTTTGCTTGGGACCCATGGCCCATGCTTGTTTAAGTTTTGAAGCGTGTGCGGTGGCAAAAGGATGCGGCAGTGCTTCAGAGGTGGTTGATGAGACCAGAACGTGTTGGGTTCCCCCCACGACCAGCCTTGGCCTCCAAGATGGCCTGTCGCCGCAATCCAGCAGTCAAGCGGCGCAATTTCCTTTTTCCACGCTGCGATGATGTCAAAGTCTCAGACACTGACTGAACATGTCTTCACCCGCAGGATTTCTTGATTGACCTGTTGAATGGATAAGGTGGAGCTTCACTCAGCTCCCGAATGCCGGGGTGACCATCAGAATGCGCTTGCCAGGTTTGTCATCGGGTGTGAGAATTCTTTCAAGTTCTGGGTTGCTCTGCTGTTGCTTGGTTTGGCTTGCTCTGCTGTTTCGGAACCCTGGAGCACAACCTACAGAAATATCTAAGCACCTCCTTTGACCGCAGGGTTTCATACAAAGCTTCAGGCAGCTTGTGACAGGATGTCCAAAACTGCAAAAGACATTTGGCATTTGCTGGTCAAAACTACCGAAAGGTCAGTGGCAGAGAACTTCTAACAAGACTGTTGGCAAACTCTCCATGGCAGGTGCAGGAAGTCAGCCCAGCGGCATCTCCTCAATGCCTTCCTTGGTGACAACGAGCATCGCAAGCTTTAGCTTGAAGCTCAGCGCAAATCCCTGCTCAGTGCTGTCCATTTTCGTTTATTGGGAGTAGAAGTGAGAAAGGGTTTTCATGAAGAGGCATGGGTGCTTGTATCCACGATTTGTGGAGAAGACGGCGTCATCGAAGGCGGGGCAGATACTGATTGGTTGGTAGTTTGTGGCAGTTATTTTGTCAAACTGTGTGACTGAGTCAGTTCTTACAACCTGCTGTGGGTGTGCATTTGCTGGTGATGGTCCTTGATGCAGGCCTTGTTCTTCAAAGCCATGGTTGAGAATGAAGGCACAGGACTGCGGAATGCTTCCAGCACCTGAGACATTCATAGTCAAATCCATGCGTCCCCATGCGTCCGCCACCCAAAGGACGTAGTTGGTAGAGCGGGATTTCTTCGCAATTTGCAATGGCCCTTCGGGCTCTTGGGTCGGCGAAAGCATCTTGGCAACGTCGTCCGAGGAATTGGAGCCTGTCGATGTTTTACTTTTTTCTTTGGGCCTAATACCCAAAGGTCTGGAGGCACGGCAACGCTGGAGAAGGTGCGAGTTCTTTCTGTTGGGATTTCTCGGTTGTGGTTGATGATATGTAAGGGCTGAACAATCCAAACGTGTTCAAATTTGTTCTGGCTGTTGAGTACCTCGATGCAGGGTGAGACAGACAGGGAGACATCACCAGAGGAGGAGCAAACTTGAAAACGTTGTGCAGAAGGCTGTTGTGTTCTTACCCCTGAAGCAATCAAGGAGATTTCGTCAGTTTTGCCCCTGCAAGCAGCACTGATGAGTTTACAGCAGTTTTGGAATGTTTTTGGTTTGCTTCGCAATGGATAGCAGTTGCCCAGTCTGTTTTTTGCCAGGAGTTTGCCCGCCTCACGAATCCAAAGCAAAATGTAGCAATTATCGGAACCCGAGACTGCACCTACAATCACCAGCAAGACCGGCGCTCAGAGCATGGCACCAGACGGAAGAGTATCGCAAAGCTGTATCATAACATGTTGTCAGTTTTCGAGCTTGCCAAGTCTGCCAGGAAATAGAGGCTCTGACACAGGCACAGAATCTTTGCAGAGCAATACTGACTGCACATCGCCGGCCGTTTGGCATTGCTTTTGACAGGGCCATGTTGAGAAGGGGCACCGTATTTACACATCTGGGTCAGGGCCTTGCTGTGAGTCGCAGCTGTGAATTGCCTCAGAGTGTAAACCAGAACGAAAGTGCCTTGATAGTTTCTGACTTGAATTGTTGTCTAAGATGCATCCACGGAGGGGAGAAAGGACCAAGGAGAGGAAGGAAGAAAGGAAGGTCGGAAAGAATGACAGGAGACGTGTGCCCAGAGCCACACCAGACCCCGCAATCGTCGAAAGGGAATGCTTGATTGGAAAGGCTGTGCTCAGATTCTGGACGTTGGTAAGTTGTAAGGTTTTGGGATGGCGTGACAAAACGTAGCGACGTAGTGTGGCATGCAACCTGTCGCCACCGTGGCCACCCTCATTCATTACGCAGGCCATGTAGCCGACAAGAGCAGAGTCAAGGTACATGCGGTCCATGATCAACATGTCTGACACATCGTGCTATGGCTATGGCTCGTGCTTCAGTGCATGGGACAAAACCGCACCCCCTTCAGCCACCCACTGATCAGCAAGCGGCCGAGCATGTGAGCACTCAGGTGAGCGCATTTAGGAATGCCTCCACACCTGCCATTTGAGAAGCAAACAGCCCACCACCAAGCCCTGCTAACAACAGCAGACTCAGTCAACAATTTGATCTGAGCACCACAAATGCCCAGCAAGCGCAGTCCGGCAAAAACATCCCAGGTCGTACTTACTTGGCCTGATCAGGTAGACTCATAGACATGCGTGAGAGCATGGCATCGACATCTGAGACCTTTGGTCGCTCCACTGCATCGAGCACTCCAGGCTTAAGGTCTTTGCGAACTGCACTGGGTGAGGGTGAATTTTATCACCTGTAAGATGCTTCTGAGGTAGCGATGGTGCCCAACAGATCCAATTCAACAGGGTTTTTCCAAGAGCCTCTTCAATGTGATAGATCTGTCAGACGTCCATGAGGTCCAATGGCACAAACTCCGCTGTCATCAAGGCTGTCCTTGACCAGGGAAGGCAGGACACCAAGCGACAGCAAGATTGGACCTCTCGTTTGGTGCTCTCATTAAAAATTTTTACAAAGTGCAAAGGTGGCCAAGCCATCGCTCAGGCCCGAATTGCTCACAGTTGAACTTCCACAAAGCTTGGAGAAGCAGGATGATGAGATTCAGGTGTCGGTGCCGGACGGTGTTGCATGCTCCTGCACAAAAGCCGTTTGGGTTCAGCCTCCTTTGGCTCTCAATCCACACTGGAACAATGGTCCAGCATGGTGCAGAACCCACTGAAACTTGGAGCTTTGCCTTCCAAAGCCTAGCTGTGAGCCCTGGATCCGAGCCGAAACAAACACATGAACTAGACGACGAGTGGCCCGAAAGCATTTTTCATCACGTAGGAAGTCAGAGTTTGAGTTGTCTGTTAAGTGTTCAGTGTGAAGTGTTAAGTCGAGTGAGTTGAGGCAGTGTGTGGGTCTCTGTGTGTGTATCTATGTCTGTGTGTGTATGAGTCTCTGTCTGTGTGTGTGTGTGTCCCACCCTGGACAAAGGGTTTTCCACCACCATTTCTCCACAAGCAGGGGGCATGGCAGCTGTTTCCCTAGCCATGCCAACGAAGCTATGGGATTCAGCCGGAAGGGAATGTGGACGCACATTCCTGTACCTGCGACCGAAACTGTTTTCCACGCTGTGACTCTACTTCTCCACTTTTTGATTCATGGTTCTTCACGCTACCACCCCCAAACAGGTTTCCTACCGCTGCCTTCAGCCGCCGAAGTTC